AGTTTTCTTTTTACTAGACAGTCCATTTCAATTTCGCTGAGATTTTACAAATTTAACTTTATAAATGAAATTATGTACACCTTATCTAAAAATCCTCATTTTTTCATGTCTCCTGTGTTATACTACTTCTGACCTTCGTATTGAATTGCTTTGTCTTCTTTAGGTTTATCTCATGTTTCGTCGCAAAATTGGTTCATTTGCTTTATTTGATGTCAAGTTTATCACTCCGCTATTCGATATTTTTGTGCCGGTGAACTTCTCTCTATGTATTACTGATAAATCGTGTCCGCATCGCAAGCTGCAACCGTAGACTTTAGCAACCCTTCGTTCATCATATCAGATGATTTTAATTTTAATATCACACAGTGTAGAGCATAAATTATAGCGCATATTCATATCAGTTTATTCACCGCGGTTGTACAATTTGCCCTGTATATATTTCCTCTATTTCTCGCTGTCTGGAACTTCCCTTTGTTGTTTTTTGCCACATTCTATATCTCCGGTGGAGGCGTTGTGTCATTCGGATTGCAGGTGTGTGGTGTTGAATCAATAATCAAAGATTTAGAGACTAACCTCCTTCTCTCAACCTATATATATAACTTTTTATTACTTTCACCCTGACCAACCCTGTTTTATGATTATATATAGGTAAATAAAATGTGATGGCTTTACTGTTTTCCACGTTATATAACTCAGTGGGGTCAGACAATCTGGATCTAGATAGATTTTCATATCACAACAATCCAATTGACAATGAGTTGCGTATCTGACCTATGTACTTGACCTCACTCAAAGTCATAACGTGATATATGTTAAACTATCTTATTTTTTCTTAATTGAATCTATCAAGAAAAAGCCGAAAAAGTTGCTCTCTGATTGAGTTCGCTGGTTTAAATGCCACCCTAATTCTAGTCTCACTGAGAATCCTAAGTGAGAAATCTTATATTCCTTCTTCAAACGGCTGTACTACGCTTGATATCTGTCAGTTCTTGAGCTCACACTCAGCGTTCCCAATTTGTTGATATTTATTGGTGTGTATTTCGTGGTAATAATATTTCTCTCACACCAGCGAATGTAAATCACTACCCCACACCCATGATGAAACTCATATTCTGTTGACTATAAATGCGCTAGTATATCACCCAGCTGTCTGTTCACATTCTGTCTTATGTTTTGAATGACTGCACATTGTATGTGGATTCCTCTTAGTGGATTTTGACAGTCTTAACTACTAAAACACCGGTGACCACTGATTGTCCCTTTCTACGACAACGAAGCTATGCATAGCAGAATTGTATTTTATACTGCTTAGTTACCAGTCCACACAAATTCCTACGCGCTCAATTCAGAGTGGACTGAGAACTCTATTTGTCTGTGGATGAGATAACCCTCAGTTCTAAAGCCAATCACTGTGATTGTGTGGCGCCACTATTTGTTACTGAATGTAATGAGTATCAGTGGTGTAAAATTGCACTTTGCCAACCTCCATTTCAAAACTGAAGAATAAGGATACTAGCGATGGAAGATGTCAGCTTTTCCGATAACTGTTAGCAGTGTCTTCGTGTGGCTGATTCTACATCATTGTATCGAGGGCATAGCTGTGATCCATTTTGTCCTCACGAATGATGTCATCAATTTGTCTATTTTGACTATCTCACCATCGGACAATTTGGAGAGTCATTATCGACTACATAAACTTATGTGTAGTGTGCATTAGTTACGACAGAATATGCATGTATTGTTCATCCGTCGCCCACTTCATTCAGGTTAGACTCAGCAACCAAACTACTGCCCTACATCCGGGTGAGTTATGGGTGTTGAAGAAAGAATTTTTCGATGAATGTTAGTTTTCTGAGTGGTGATGTCACATTTGGTGACTCTGTGCACATTTCATTCTCATTCACCAAATAATGGAATAACGCTTGTGAGTACGTCAGATTGTTTGTCCTAGCTATCGGAACGTTACTAGTCTAAATGTGAAGGACCGGAAATGCGTGTGTTTGTAGCGATGAGTACTTGTTAACGCATTCTGGAAATCTTCCCTCCATCGCAATCAGTTTTCGCGTTGTTTGATTTCCATTCCAAATTATCATATCCCTACAAACATTTCTCATGCCTCACCTGAGACTTCTTAACAGGTACTCATGATATTCGCTGGACTGATTCCATGTAAATGCTGACTTATCTTTGCTCAACAACGTAATATAAACAGCACAGTCGGCTGAAATCATGTGCGCAAAGCATCTGTCATTCACAGCCCATTTACATTCGGAGAAATAATAAAGCATTGTATACAACGAACAAAATTTATGAGCACTAATTCCAAAATATTGAACAGATTGTAGTTCACACAATTCACTTCACTCATTATCGCGAGAACATATGCCAACATTTTGTGATGACATCAACGAGGATTGATCATTTGCGAGACTCTTTCACCGTCTTCGTCACCTTCTTCGTAGTCGTCACATCTGACGCACCGCCTCCTACGCTTGGTGCTCGCTCATTCGGACACGCCCAATGAACCACCTTCTTGACCAGCTTCTTCAATGTCGGAGGCAGAATGTTGAACATCTTATCCAGAACTGAGAGCGGTCACGTGTGTGTGTGCAATGGTGGAATATGACATGATGCATTGAGTATTGAGTAGTTTGTATTGCGTTTCGGCATTGTTTCCATCAGCGAAGAGGGGTGGGTTGGCGAGAAATGAAGAGAAACAGGTCATCATTATCGCGAAATAGGCACATTGACATAGACAGGAATTCAGCTGTTAACGAATCTCGTGAACTTACTTAAGCCTTGTGTTTGACTGACGAGGACGGTTAGGCAGACGAGGAGGAAGATGCACTGATAGGATTGTTAGAGAGAGAGAGAGGAGCAGTGATTTGATTAGAATTTCGCCACTCACCTTCATTCTGTGTTGATGTGAAAAGAGATAATTATGTGTAGTATTCTACCTTGGCTTATAACTGCAAATATATATATATATATATATATATTTGAGTGTGTAGAGTGCTTAGCTGTTCACCTATAATCAATCTAGAGTCGCTTGTCAGGTGAAATCTTGATGACTGAGTGACATTCTGATTTGATTTGAGAAGTGAATGATTACATGACTGAATGTAACACGATTGTAAATTGACCTAGATATCGTTCTGCCTATTTGAACCATTTGACACTGATTCCTCCTATCAGACAATGAAACTGAAATTGAACATTTCTACCGCTCTTACCAAAAGGATGTTTTCTCCTTATAAGTTGGGAAGTCTACTATTTCAGTATGATTCCATGTTTTATCGACCGTCTCTTCTACTGACACATTCAGCATAAACAGATACCGCATAACTCTGTCTTATTGAAATTCTGAATCTCGTTTCCAAATTTGAAACTGTCTACTGGATAGGTGATGGCTAGGTTTTCTCCCGTCGGTTCCGTCAAATGTGAAACTGATTTACATCTTCGTAGTATGCAGAGCTCGAAATGGCGAATATCGTGCGAAATATCAGTTTTAGATCGTATCATTTCCAATGGATATACATTCACGATGAATATGATAACGGGGACTTAGTGCATAAAAGTCATTTCCATGAAGAACTTTACCTCAAATAAAAGCTTTATTCTGGTAGTAATTGAAATAAAACCATGAAGGATCACCGGGGTCTTAGTGACTAACGTATTTTGTTATGAACCATGACGTGGGTGTGTGTGTGTGCGGCTGCATATCTCTTCTCGGTGTCAGTAATTTCACAGTCGGTGGCCTCATTTTTCGGCCGCCCAGTAAGACAAATGATGGCACACGAAAACGTCGTCACTCACATTCGGTAGGGAGAAACTGGCCTGTTCTGTGTGGTAAAGAGTATACAACATTTCTGCGTTCAATATAAATAGTGCTCACATACGCCTACATATACACGCGAAAGCTCCGGCTGAAATGTTGACTATCAACACGCTACAATTAACAGTAATACTTCTTGCCTCTCAAAAACATCAAATCAAATCAAAACTCAACAACACTACTACTCAATTACCTACAACAGTCATTGAAACCAAACCAACTACTATTTCATCAATACACAGCACAAATCAGCTATTCTGTGAATTATACACCAATACACACAACAGTCGTCACACAAATACACAAAGAGCAATTCACATGCAAATATGCACACTTCCACACACACACATACACAGTAAATCAACACTAACCATCCACAGAATAACACTACACTGAGTGACTAGCCAATCAACCTACATCCATCACATTGTCAACTGACATTGACTATTCCACTATCACCATAAACACCTTCACAGTCAGAATCATACTAGTCACTCCCGAACTGGCTAACACCGATTCCATTTGACATATAACAACGGATATCAAATAGGGAGACTTTAGGTTACTTGGGATGCATCTCTGAGTGTTCGGTGTTCTCAACAGTGTAATACCTCAACAGATTGAAGTGTGATATATAGTTGGATTTCTTCATAAGCTACCGTTCAACTTAAAGCAATCTTTGTGTTGCTCTCACGGGAGTAATTAAGCTGACACTAAGGAATGATGTTAGGAAGATCAAGAAAGCAAGCGAACTAGCCTCAGGAAAATCGAAACACACGTCAATTTAGGAACTCAACAAATTAATAGAAGAAAAGCACAAGACAATAAATGAAGAAGTTGACATCAACGATTCATCGTCCATTGCCAAAACAAAGTGAGTTGCCATGAAGATAACTAGGATCTAGTGAGATTAAAGTCTACGAGAATTCATTAAATTTCAGCGTAACAGTCAGTGAACAAAAACCGGATTCAGCTGACAAATTGTAGATGTCATATCCTAATATTGTATGACCATACACAAAGTTCAACCATTTCATGAACACTGATTTATTCCTAAACATGACAAGTCAGGCAAATTAACGACACTTCAATCAATGCAAGACATTGTTTTCAAACAAATGAATAGTATATAAGCATTAGGATTCTCATCTCACTCACTCACTCAGTCAGTCAGTCACTGTTACATACAAACAATCAAACATCGACAAGAACAATGAAGGTAAGACTGCCATTTCTCATAACTTCATAACTAAATTCCCTTAATTCTTCCTTCTCTCCTCCTTTCACTAACAGAATCTCACGCTCCTCATCTTCACCACAATACTCATCGCTCTCATCTGCACACCAGGTAAGTGTGTTCACTGGTTGTTGGCCGATGGATGCATTGTGATGCACAGTGAGATTCGAAACTGTGTACAACTCTCTTCTTATTCTGTCCTAATCTCCACGTGTTCTCTCGTCGTGTAGGTGCTGACGGTATGCTGGCTATGCTCCCAGTGACAATCAGAGCTGTACTGGCACCGGTGCTCAAGTTGGGATGCAAATTCGTTCCTAAATTCCTGTTTCCGACTGACGAGGAGGTGGCCAGCTTCTAGTGTATACAAGCACACATTACCAGCTGATATGAATAGAATTGTTATGAGTCTTTCATCCTTGTTGATTGTAATAAAATCAGTGTAGTGTGTGAATACGTGTGTGGCTTTCATTGTGTTTTATTATTTTTTGAGTGGTCTAGTGAGTGGTGATTTCGCTCGAGCATTTTAATTCGGTGAACATTGTTTTAGAACCGTAATTTCAAATCAACTGCCAACTTCTGAATTCTGATGCTTTTGTGATGTGATAATTCTTCAGGTTTTGGAGAATATATATTTGAGCTTCATTGATTTTGCGTATACTTTGAAGAGCTCGAAATATGCCTCATATAGCAATCATTTATTCTCTTATATATATTATCTACTGATGTCAGCACGTCTCTTAAGCCAACACGAATAGAAAACAGACAGCCACACCTACGCGAATACCTCCACTTTTCAATCAGATTGTATGATTTCATTTATTTGCACAAAACAAAGCGTCGTTTGATCAGGTTGCAATATTTCATATTGTACTTGTTTCTGTGGTGTCAATAATGACTCTTCAAATGGTCTGATTGTGAAATACTCGAAACAATCAGCCTAATGATCCATGAGTCCTTTATGAACTATGAATATATCGTGGATACACTGATAACGACACAGCGGCGGGGAGATACTGGCCAAACATTTTATAGTTCAAATTGTAGAAAGTATCCATCAAGACATTAGAGAGAGAGAGTGAGTAAGAAACGTGCATGGACCTCAATGAAGACATCTTTCCAGCTATTCAATTACATTCTTCCAGAATGTCAATCTTTTGAATCCTCTCTTGTAGAATAACTTGGAAACCCACTATCTTGCGAAACTTTTGAGGCGTGAATTTTCAGAAATGTTATGAATGACATCAAAGGATTTCATATTAACTCTGGCTACTGTCTGTATTTTTAATTTTGTGACATGGAGGTCTGTAAAACACAAGTTTTATAACACCGATACTTTTGCGTATATCTGCAAATAACTTTACAGATATAACCTGCAGTTGCAAAAAGAATAATTATGAACACAATATTCAGCAAAGAGATTCTTTTAAACGAATTAATTATCAAGCTGTACTATCCTATATATATGGTTTTTTAAGAAATTATATCCGGTGAGGGAATTAGGTCAAAGGTGTGAATACATGAAATAATAATAGTAGTGGTATGAAACGCAATTAAAATATTTGTGATTATAATCATAGTTAAATGTCAAGTGGCAAAATAATTAATGTCATATATAGAATAATACATAAGGTGTATAGATTTTGGAAAGGTATACATAATTAAAAGATTGGTAGACGAATATAAAGTGTTACATAACATGGTGTGAAATTTGATAAGATAGGATTCAATATTGTAAAACTAAAAAATATAAGAATTAATAATTTTGGGTTTAAAATGACAAGTGGGTCGAGTGGAAAAGATTCAGAGTGAGAATAGTAGTAATAGTAATAATAATAATCGTAGTAATAAGAGAAAGGTGCATAGAATAACTAAATAAACAAAATAAGTAAATGTCTACCCCTCTACGACCACGGGCAAAGGTAGGAATTGCACTTACTTCTTTTGTACACAAAGGTCCGGCTTAAAGTCATGAATTGCCAAGGCCTCAGCTGTCTTTAGAAGTCTGTAACGAAGAAGACGCGGGATTTCAGCATGGATTCTATAAATGATCTTGAAATCATGGTCACGGTTGACCGAGTGACAGAAGTCGATCAAGTATTCATGCCTTTAAACAAGACCTTTGTGTACAAAAGAAGTAAGTACAATCCCTACTTTTGCCTTGGCTGTAGAGGGATAGACATTTATTTATTAAAAACAATAAGTCCCTTATATAAATTTTGATATCGTTATAAGAAGACGGAGATTATCTGAAAAATGTGGTGTATTTGCGCTATACATTTCGAACAATCTGATCACATATTTACTTGTCAAGTCAACATATATGGAAAAGTTAAATTAAACAAAGTGACAAAAAAAGGATTAAGAATAATTAACGCAAACGTTTGGTAATCGAATCAAATAAGGATTAACAAGGTGTAGGTTAAGAGTTATCACAAAATGTTTTTGAATACACAAGGGAGGCTTAAGTTTGTGAATAGCTATAGCCTCAGAGTATTTCAGTAAACACCCTTGACCTTTTTTATAGATGACGTTAAAGGCTGAGTTGACATCAATCTTATGGTTTATCTCGATTAGATGTTCAGCTATAGACGAAGTTGGTTGTCTGACACCTGCATCTATTGGCTTGTCACAATTCATTTGTTGTTCTAACCATCTCGGGATATGCTCTCCCACCGTCATATGCAGAGCGCGATTACTCCTGCCTATGTATGTGTGTTCACACATACACGAAAATTGGTAAATAGTACGGAATGTGACACAATCACTTGTGTACTTTTGGGGTTTGCTGTGAAGCAAATTTTTAGCTTTCTCCCCAATTACAAGCTGCGCTGCATAGTAGGTTCTGCGGATGATCGAATTCAACATTTGTCTCAAAATCCTAATGCTTATTTCCCCGTTATGTGGTAATTTGATGAAAACCTTTTTCTTAGGGGCGGTATGGATTGTAGGTTTAGAGGTTAGTTGACTTCTACACCTGTTTAAAAATTTTAAAGGATATCCGTTGTCAACAGGAGTATCCATCAATATTTCGTTTTCTTTGTCTGTAACATCAGCCATGCAAATACGCTGAGTCCTCTTAAATAGACACTTCACCAAGCCTCTCTTATACTGTAATGGACAGAAGCTGCCCTGTCCAAGTGGGCTTTCTGTAGATAGACCGTCTTATTGAGCCATCATCTCTTCGACTCATAAGTATGTCTAAAAATGCAAGCTTGTTGCGACTTTCTTCCTCGCATGTAAGACTAATATGATTCTGTACAGAGTTAAGTTTGTCTAATAGGCGACTCGCATCTTCATGATCGTCGCATATCAAAATGATATCATCTACATATTTCTTATAGAAGGGCAATTTAGAAATTAAATCAAAGGATAAGTTTTCAACATAAGACATGTAAACGTCCGCTAACAAAGGTCCTAATGGACTCCCCATAGCAACGCCCTCCACTTGTCGAGAATGTTCGCCTTCAAACGTGAAATGGACGTTTTCAGTACATAATAGTAATAAATCTTTCAAATAAGTTAAAGGAAAAGGAAATGAAAAACAACTAGAAGATATATAGTAACAAGGAATATCAACGGTCTTACCCAATGGTACATTAGTAAACAAAGAATTGACATCAAATGAATGCATTTGCCTTTTATGTTCATATCTACAAGACAGTCAACAAGTTCAAATGTATCTTTCAAAGTAAACTTACATAATTCATTGCATACTGGACTTAAAATATCAGCTAACGGTTTTGCTAATTTATGTGTAGGAGAGTTACACATTGAAAGAATTGGACGTAATGGATTATTAACTTTATGAATTTTGGGTAATCCATAGAGGTTTGAAAAGTCACATCCCATCGTTTTCAAGGAATTAAACTCCTCTTTATTGATAACGTCCATACCACGAAGTTTTACCAAATGAGAAGTTACTTTTCCTTCCAATTTTCTGATATCATCCGAAGGAACATCGGCTATGAGTTTGCTCTTGTCATTAAGGGTAGATAACATTTTTTATTGTTTTGTAATCGCTTCTGTCCATTACAACTACACCAGATCCTTTGTCAGGTTTCAAAATAACTAAATCGGACCTATTAGGGGCTTTAAAATGAGTTGATGTTAAAATGCTTCTTTGTTTCCGACTTGATATACGGAATTTGTGTGCTACATCTACAAAATTAACTTTCAACCAACTTGGTCATCTGTCAAGGAAGGAGTTAGAGAACTCAACTGATCATACAAATTTTCAAACTGGGAATCAATTGCTAAGTACGAAATATTGTTTAGCGGGATAGAGAAATAGAAACCAAGTGATAGCGCCTCATTTTCATGTAATAAAAGTTCAACCGATGACAGATTTGTCCCATACTTATCAGGATTTAATGGGAATTGGTTTAATTGAAAGTCAGAGGTACAAGATCCAAGTAATTTCAGTCTAGTATTCTTTTTCGTCTTATTAACGACAGAGCTACAAAAATTAATGAACTTGATTTGGCAAATTATGGAGACATCAGACAATTTATTTGATGACGATAAATGAAGTTCAATCAATCCACATAACTTCTCATTAGAATTGTCAATGTGAGATTTCGTAAGGCGAATAAGATTTGAAATATTTGGTTGAAGTTTAGAGGATTGAAGAGATTTGTAAAATGCCTTCGGGAACGTGTGAGTTCAGAGACAAGATTTATAAAAATCCAATTTCACCTTTTCAGATGCTACTTAACACTTCAGGTTAAGAAGTCGATCTAACCGTTTGATTATGCATGGAGGGAGTCTTCATTTCCAATATTTAAAACAATTAGTCCATTTTACAAATTTTGATAACGTTATTAGAATTACTTTTTATTTATTTCGTTTATTTAGTTATTCTATGCACCTTTCTCTTATTACTACGATTATTATTATTACTATTACTACTATTCTCACTCTGAATCTTTTCCACTCGACCCACTTGTCATTTTAAACCCAAAATTATTAATTCTTATATTTTT